AGGTTGAACAAGGCAACCCTCTGCCTGCTTTCAGCTTTCGTGGTCTGTCGGGTGCCCTGTTTTTCACATTTTTGTGGGGTTTTTTTTTTTATGATGTTGCTGTTTGGCATGGCCTCCAGGATGATGCTAAAGTCTTTTCTTGTATTCCAGAGACAAAAAGGTGCACTATGGCTTGGGGGGGTCGATGTGCTAGGTAAGCCTCCTTGTGGCGGGAGTTGTGTGTTGGCCGGGCGCTCTGCGCTCAGCAACTTGTATCAGATAAGGTGTCTTCCCACAGAAACACATGTGAGACAAGGCCCTGTGTTGGTCGGTCAACAGCTAATGGAACCCTGACTGGTAGCAACCCAACCCTGTATTTCCTTGAGGAGCGAGGGTCCGGTACTTGTGACCTCAGTGTTCACGGCGACGTTTTAAAATCAAACTGCCGTGCAGAGCGAGACTTGACCGTCGTTATTGCTCATTCACCCCACCCTAGACTCGAAGACGTTTGCTCTGAAATGTGGTTCGCAAATTTAAATCCCACTTCGTGACATTTGTAAGAGCAGAAGGACGTGCAAAGGAGCTGAATGTTCGACTCCACCTTACGTCTCTGCCCCTGGGCTTGCCAGGGAGTTGTTTTCTTGACTTTGTCCCGGGGTCTCCCGGTGATGACCGTGATGGCGTCGGTAACCCTGAGCAGCTGGTGGAACGAACTTGAGCTCAAGAAAATGCAATGCCGTGGTCAAGTCTGGGTTTAAGAATCACCCACTTACTCCATGCGGTTGGAAAAGAAAATAATTAAACCTCCTTACTCAATCTCCTCATAAAACCACGCTCCTGACGAGGAACAGAAGAGAGAGGGGAAGGGAGAGTGACCTGAGCTGCCCTGGCTGGAAGGCAGGTCGCGCGGCTCGGGGGGACGGGGCCCGCGGCTCGGGAGGGATTCAGTATTCCTCTCCAGGTATCAGAGGACCTCTTTTCAGCCCTCATGTCCGCGCTCAGCACCTCAGATTTTAAAAAGGTGTTCTGCTTCTGGCATCCGAGCCAGGAGTACAGCAGAGATGGAGTCAGGATGCAAGCACGAGCTCAGTGGTGTTGACCGTGAACTTCCTTCATCCTGGAATCAAAATCCAGAGAGTTTTATCTTTTTTCTTTTCTTTTTTCTTGTCCTCTGCCCCTTGCTTTATGTTTCCTGGGATACACGATATATAACCGATAACTTTCATTTTCATAGCAAGTACACACATATTCATTATATTAGGCTTAAGCTAAACAAAAGAAGGAAGGAAAAGGAGAAAATTAAAGAGATCTATCCTGACTTCTCCATGTCGCAGAGCTAACCACTGTTAATATTGCTCTGCCTATTGCTGGGGTCTTTTTATCTTCAGGATTAAGGATGCTCGGACTTAACCACACGGAGCCTCCACTCCCTCCCACCCACATCTCTGTATAAACACACATTCAGGTTTCCGGAAATCTTCTAAGCCCTCAAAGATGACTCACTGTTGTTGGTTATCAGTGCTTCGGGAGGGAGGCCCAGGGTTTGCCCGGAGAACATGAACAATGGAGAAGGAGAGCCCTGCTTCACATCTGAGTCTGGGCCTGGTTCCCAAGCCTCTACCTTCCTGTCTGTAAAATGGGGCCATGATACCTGCCAGCACAGGAGGGTCCAGTGTGGGGGTCACACTTGCCTCTGGACAAGACCCTAACATACACCGTCCTGCTTCCCCTGATGTTTTCAAAACTTCGGAAATAAGTTCTACTACGATTTCTACTTTGAAATCAGTGAATGTGGGGAATTCTACTCACTGAGGGGGGCCCTGTGGTTCCACAGCCCTCGTGAGCACTGCTATTCAGAGAACTTGAGTTTGAAAATTTCACTTTTTTATTAAAGAAACCAAGGTAGTGCACCTGGCAGGTGTGGCTCAGTGGATTGAGCTGGTTCGCTGGTTCACCTCCCAGTCAGGGCACAGGCCTGGGTTTTGGGCCAGGTCCTCAGCGCAGGGCGTGGGAGAGGCAACCACACGTGGATGTTTCTCTCCCTCTCTTTCTCCCTCCCTTCACCTCTGTCTAAAAATAAATCAAATCTTTTAAAAAAGATCAATCGATGTAGAGAAAACCAGTTTTTCCTCTTTTCTGGATGAGCCCTGGGATGGGGATCTTGTGGGTGTGTGTAGGTGGTGCCTTTGCAGCTGGAGGTGCTGGGGTCTCTCCTGGTCTCCTGCTCGCCCTCCCGCCCAGACGGCCACTGCTGCCCGGGAAACCCGGAGTAGGGGTGGCCTTTGTTTCCTGCGGTTTCCTTGCCATTCCTTCCCTGCAGCCCTCTCTTTACAACAACCTGGGATTTTCTCCAGACTTTGCTGTGGGAGTTCGAAGCATTTCCACATCCTTGCCCGTAAATGCTGCCCCGGCTTCTGTGCACTCCCGAGTCTGGGTCCTCTCTCTCTTTTCCCTTCCGCCCTCTGCCTAGCTCAGCTCTAGGACCAGGTCCTTCTCGGCCAGAGTCAGTCACTGAAAGAGCACCAGACCTTAATCCACCGTTGTGTGAGTGAGAGCCTTTTCTGTAAACACACTGACCCCTTTGTTTCTTGCTTTCAAAAAGTCATCTGTGGAAAAATTAAAATGCAATTATTGGAAGGCCCGGCGCTGAGCTGTTTCCCCAGCGTCGCTTGTTACCTAATCAGGGTGGAAACTCCAAACGGCCTGCTCCAGGCACTGAGTGTGGCGGAGGCTGGGGACAGGCCTGTGTGGCAGGCGTTCCGAGGGAGGGACAGCAGGCCCGCCGGCCTCAGCCGCCTCCTCTGCCCCCGCACCAGACGACTTCTGGGCGTGCTCATCAGCTTGTTTGGGATGGAGTTCTTGGCGCAGGAGTCCTGGTCTGGGCTGGGGAGGGTGCTGCTGGGTGTGTGTGTGCACGCGCATGTGTGTGCACACACACTCGCCCTCGCATACCAGCAGGACTGTGTGGGAGCATTCCACCGACTGACTGCTGGACTCTGTGCAACAACCCACAAAGCAGTTTTTAAACAAAACCAGAAAGATGACCTTGAAGGCACTGAGGAGCCCGGTCGCGTCCTTTGTGGTTGTCGTGTCTCTGCTCCCAGTCGTCTGCTCAGCCCGGTTCCGGTGTCCACGTGCAAAATAGCATCTGGAGGCCAAAAATAACGTCCCTCCCCTCCTTTCTTGAGGGAAGTTCTTCACCCTTGGCCGAGAGTTTTGCTGGTTTCTGATGAAAGTGGGCACAGTGCGGTGCTGGGCTCCGTGTGCCCAGTGTGAGCGGGGCCCCCAAGTCACTTCTTCCTGGTGCAGAGCCGGGGGGTGGGGGGTGCACTTGTGAACTCCGGCTGCCCCTCTCCAAGGGGGTCAGGTGGATGGCGGGCCTTGTGTGTGGCTGAGGTCCCCCCCTGTTTGAAATCGCTGTCGACAGAGAGGATGTTGGTTTAGCTCTCTGGGAGCAGGGAGGGAGGTTCATTTTCATTAATTCATTCCCCTGTCCTGTCCTCCTCTGCCCATTCTTTCCCTCCTCAAGTCCTGTGCCCTCGAGGTCACCTTCAGGTCCTAAGACACCTTGTGCACACTAATGAAAGTGGTGCTTGGGCCAGGGTGGTGTGCAGCTTGGGAGCGGCCCGTCCAGCTGACCATGGGCGGGCAGAGCCCCTGCCTATGCACGCACCTTGTGACCTCGCAGCGGGAGCAGCACTGGGCCCCCCCAGGTGTGTGACCCCCTGTGCCACCACCGACTCACTCCTTCCACAGGCTGTGCTGGGGACTCAGACGCCACCACGGAGGCAGTACAGATGTTTCCAGTCCCCACGATCCCCAGCCCCGGGTGGGCCCGGGGTCTGTGGGCTCCTGCTTTGGTTGAGATGAGCCCTGGGGGTGCCTGGGTGGCTGCCCTGCCTGCAGGGACAGCGGAAGCTGGGAGGAAGCGTGGAGCTCTGCCACGGGCAGCGTCAGCCCTGCAGCGTCAGCCCTGCAGTGTCAGCGGGAGACGTGGCCGGCGCGCGGCCGGCTGCCCAGCATTCCTCGGACGTGTGCCGTCTGCCCAGGGCCCCCGTGTTGTTGACACACGTCCCTCTGCCAGATGAGCCTGTCTCCTCTGGAAAACTCCTGCACATCCTGCAGAGGCTAGCAGCCTCCCAGCCTCCGTGCTCAGCCCTGGCTCACACTGCAGCCTGCGTCTCCTCCTGCCCGCGCTGGTTCGCTTTCCCTGGCTCGGGGAGTGTCCCCAGGCCCGGTCAAGTGTATGTGCTGAGGTGGGTGAGTTGGGCCTCGGGCTCATCCTCAGTAGTGACCTACAGGCCCGCCCTCGGCAGCCTTCTCTGCCTCCCTCTGGGTCCTGGTCTTGTACTGTCTCTCCCAAAACATTGTTCAGAACTTTTCACACAGCCCGTCCCTGGCCTGCTCTCTGCCAGGCTCACGCCCCTCCCCCACCAGCACTGACGGTTACAGGACCAGGACCAGGGTGAGGCGAAGGGGGTGCCCAGGGTACAGAACTGAAGGAAGCACACCTTCCCTCTGGGGCCCATGCAAGTTCAGGGTCAGCTCTTGAGAGAGCGCTTCTCCTCGAACTGTGCGCACTGGCCTTGCTGACCTCGCCTGGTCCCAGCCCTGGACCTGAAGTTGGACAGCGTCCCAGCTCTGGACACCAGTCCAGGTGACTTTGAGACAAAGCCACCTTTCCTCCCTGAATCTCAGTTTCCCTCTGACATCACCACCCTGGGTAGTGAGGACTGCATTAGGTGATATGTGTAACCTGCTCAGCCTGTTGCTTCATGCATGTTACATGTGTGTTGGGGACATTAGTATTATGATGCTGAAATGAAATGCACCAGGCACCAGCTGGTCCCTCTGTGAGCTCTGGGATGGCAGGCCCAGCCTTGGGAGCATATCCTCCCCATTCGCCCCTCTCGGGACCATGCATGGTTCATGACTGTGCGTGATGCATGACCGCGTGCACCTGCCCGGCCAGGCCGGGGTCTCATGTTCTGAAGAGGATGTGTTTTATGTCTCTGCTGCAGGGATTGCTTACTTAGGAGGTGTGTGCAGCGCTAAGAGGAAATGTGTGCTCGCCGAAGACAATGGGCTCAATCTGGCCTTCACCATCGCCCATGAGCTGGGCCACAAGTAAGTAGCAGGGCTCCCTACTGTTCTGCCTGTCTAACGTTGCCTTTCTGAATGCGGACCTTTGCACTTGAATTCTCTAAACTCTACACCGGTGTGGTGGTGGGGGGGCTCTGCATCTTCCGCGTGTGGAAGCGAGCCTGGGCCCCAGCCCTTCAGGGGACCCGAGAGGCCACCGGACGGGCGGGCTCCGAGAGCTGAAGTGCGAACTCGCTGCCCAGGTCTGCTCTGAAAGCTGACATGGGAGTGGCAAGAGGTTTCTTTCAGAGTCTTCTAGTCAGGTTTCCTCTCCTGGCTCGGAGTGCACTTTGCCTCACTCCCAACCTCTCTTTCACACAATGGGGTGTATCTGTCTTCCTCCTGTCGACTTCCTTTTTTCCCCCAGCCAGTTGCAACGTCCACATTTCTGAAGGTAGAATGTCAGCGTCTTAGCCTTAAAGTGCTAACGGCTACTGCCTCTCTGCACATGGCAGTTCTTCCCTTCAGGAGGAACTAACCCAGACCCTTGGAGCCCAGAGGGGGAGGCTCAGAGGAGAAAACAGAAGGTCAGAGGGGTCGAGCCCCTGGTCCAAGGCTGAGGTCACCGGCAGGAAGTCTCGGGTGGCGCAAAGTCAGCTGACTCCAACACTGCGGCCCAAGGGTTGGCCCTGTCTCCCGGAGCAGCTGTCTGTTTTACGTTTCTCGCAGGGGAAATTCAGACCCGACAGCTGATGAACTTAAAAAATACACAGATCAAGGAGGCCAGAGCATGCAAAACAATGGGAGAGTTCATTTTGGTTTGAACAGAGCAAAAATGAATATAAATCTAGTTCTTGGGGGGAAATCTAGTTCTTAGAGGTCACCAGGGCACAGAACTGAGTCTAGTTCATCACATCTATCTGTCTATCTATCTATCTATATACCCATATATAGCCATATATAAAAATATATATACATATATACACACATCTATATACACATACATATGTGTATATATGTACACACATATGTGGTACAGGTTTTCTATTGACCTACACAGTAAGAGGCTTGGGACCCGAAATGGAGATTCTAGCTTCTGCAAGAGGGAAACCAGTGTGTAAGGATGAAAGAGTTTTCCTTCCGTATTAGCCATATCTGTGGCTTTATTTCCTTATGTTTGGGGCTTGCTTTGGTTATCGGGTCCCCTTTTAATTTCTTTCACTCCTGGAGGCAGATTGGTACTTGACCTCACTGTACCTGCTGGTTACCGTGATGTGGGCACAGGAAGTGAAAATAATCTCAGGTGTATTTCCGGGGATTAAGGGGGAAAAGCAGGTCATGGGTCAAGGGAAAGAAGATGAGCTGTTGTCTCTCTGTGCAGTTATTATTTCATGTTGATGGAATGTTTTTCAAAAGTGGTCAACGGCACTTCGCCCATACTCTCTTGCCTGTGCTACCAGGAAATATATTTTAAATGAATTATAATCAAATTAGTGTTCTCATCTCTGATTCGTTAAAAACAAGCCTGTCCCCAAGAGTGGTTGCCCAAAGGAAAGCGCACATCCATACGGCTTTGGCAAACCCCTTCTCGCTGTGAAAAGATGCACCCAGCCCGTCACGGTTCCCAGGAATCGACATCCTAATGGCTGTGAGTGTGCAGAGCTGTTGGAGCATTTCCCAGCATGCATCTGGTCGGGGCCCTTTGACTACACGCGTGCATCGAGTTGTCCCCTGGCAGCATTCAGCACCAGGGTGCACAGGCAGGAGTGCTGTTTGCACCGCGTGTGAGCTCCCACGTGCCCCGCACGGGGGCCTTTTCTCCGCTGACGAGGGGAACACAGAGGGTCGTTTTCTGCCTGGTGACCTGTGCCATTGTTCGGGATCAAAGCCTGGCGTCTGGGCCCAGGAGGTCTGCAAGGATGAATGGTTGGATTCAGTCAGACTGTAGTTGCCTGTAGCTACGGTCTGTTTAGAATTTCTTCGAGGACCCTTTATAGCTTGCTATTGAACGCTAATTACCTACAAAAACAAACACCTTATTGTTAATCAAAGCCAATAAACCCCCGCCAGCACTCGGCCCTGCCTCTTGGGGGGGTGATTACAGTTTTCCCAGGGCAGTCTTGTTGTCTCTGACGGAATCGGGAGCCTGGGGAAGGGGAGCCCCCGAGGATGAAGTCACACGTTCTCTCTGTCCCCGCGGCTCTCTGCTCCGTGGGCTCTCAGATCAGCAGCCAAGGCTGTGTGGGGGCTTGAAATGGAGACCAACCGCCACGGCCCGGGAAGCCCCTGGCCAGGCTGCTTCCCAGACACGAAACTTGGCAGCTGTCCCACGTTTTGACGAGGCGTGCGATAGTTTAGCTCCATGTTCCTGAAGTACGTACGTGGGACCCAAGATAGGACGAGATGGTATGGTCAGGGGACCCGAGACGCTGGTCCATGCCCACCAAGAAAAGTTCGCGGTACAAGTTTTAGAAAATGGAAAAGAGCATCCCTTTGTGTGCCCATAGAAAGTCCCCAGGGGCCCACCCACTGGTCTCGAACCATTGAACACTGATGAAGGGCCACGTACGTCTCTTCGAAGGCTGGGTGTTGCACGTGGGCCCCCCATAGACCTGGCCCTTCTGTTACTTTCCCAGTATTTCTCGTATGAGGATCAGGGCGTGCAGTTGCCCTCAGATCCACACGTCAGGAGGAGAATTCCTGCTCCGTGTGAGGGACACATTGCATTGATCAGACAGTGGGAGCCGCATAAGTGCACCACATTTCCCTTCCCCTTTGGCCGTCAGGAAACGCCCAGCGAAGTCTCAGGTTCCTGTTCCGCGGCCGACTCAGCCGAGTCCTGGAGCGCTCTATTCCTCCCTCTTTCGACTGTCTCTCGGTTTGGTTTGCATGGTCTGGCTTAAATATCGTAGTTCCCAACTCACGTCCTTGGGACCGTACGCTGGCTCCCATCCAGTCCGAGATCCCGTCGGTTCTAAGTGATAAGTTAAATGCAAAGTGCTCGCCTCGGTCCTGTCAGGGATGCTGCACAGGATGGGAGGCGGGAACACGCCCGTTTTCTGAGCACCTGCCGTGTGACCTGCTGGGCCCGATGTTGTCGAATCAGTCCTGTCAGGGAGGTGTTATATTTTGCCTTTGCTTTCTAGGTTAGAAGGCTAGTCTCGCTCTTTAAACAGTTTCCACTCTCTACCTAAAACGATTTGGAACCACTTAGATGGTGATAAACCCAGGCAACAGGGCCATTAAAACGAGGACCCAAATGACAAGAGACAGGTAATAAGGAAGAGAGCTTGTTATGTATCCCCCAGACCAAGGTATTAATACTTACAGTTTGCTGCCTGTCGCGGTGGAAAGGACACTACATGGCGTGGTGCAGCTGGCAGAAGACAGCCAGTGTGTCATCAGGAAGGGTTTCTAGGAAATGTGAGTCCGTAGGTGAGACTTACAGCCCTCTGATGATTGACAGCCTTCTGATGACTGGCAGCCCTCTGATGATTGACAGCCTTCTGATGATTGGCAGCCTGCTGATGACTGGCACCTTCTGATGATTGGCAGCATTCCAATGATTGACAGCATTCCGATGATTGACAGCTGTCTGATTATTACCCTTCTTTAAAGCAGGAATGAAGACACTGGAGCCCCAGCTTTAGACAGCACTGAAAGATGTGCGGTTCCTGGGGAGGGGTCGAGGGTGGGGACCTGGGAGGGTACCTGGAGGGGCTACACTCACTGTGTTTCTGCCTGGAGGAGGAGTGGGCTCCGGGCTGCAGCCGTCTGGCAATGGCTTTGAGGTGTCCGTGGCCTTGGTTGCTGTCTTGCCCCTGAAAGGTTGCTGTCTTCCCCTGTCTTGCCAGACTGGCGGCTCCACTTCACCTTGGGTTTGCCTAGTGGGTGGAAATGTGGCCGTGTGTGTGTTTGGGCCTGTCTTGTCACAGTAGCCCAACCGGAAGCACAGGGGCTTCATCCACGCCCTTCTGTGCCTTTCTTCACCTCGGGGACCTTGACAGAGGGGCAGCTTCCGGGCGTGAGAAGATGGCTGTGGTGGCCTTCCTGCTTTCAAGGCTCAACTGATGGGTCGTGGGGAAGACTGTCCCCCAAGGAGGTGAGAAGCTCAGGTCTACACCATCCGCCCCCAAGAAAAGGCAAAAACCAAATCCAGCTGCGCCCTCACCAAGCAAGGGGGCGGGGGTTGTAGTGACGTCCGTGAAATGTTAAAATGACTGGGTGTAGTACATCTGTTGGAATTTTGGGATATATTGTTTGCTGGGATTTGGAAGGCTCGGTGTCAAAAGGCAAGGAAGTTAGTGGTTCTACAACATCCTGGTTAGAACACCTTTGCTGGGGTGGGGGGGCAGGAAGTCAGTCAGATAGGGTGTGATTAAGGCCGCAGAGTCCCTGGGTTGGCAGGAGCCCTCCCGGTGCCACCAGGGCACAGAACTGACTCTCAACCTGACGTTGGGGGCCCGGGGACACCCCGAACGCCAGGCACGGAGTGTGCTTCTCAATCAGTGAGACGGACAGCTCCCAGGAAATGCCGCGGTGCCAGGCTTTCTAGGAGGGATGGTGAGCTGGGGAGGCCACCCACTCAGAAACAGACAAAAAAAAAAGGGCATCTTTTTACGTGTAGAAACAAAGAGCCTTCCCTCCCTGGTGGAAAACGCAGCTCAGCTTCTGTTGGATTTAGGAGGCGCAGTCGGATGAGCCTGAGCCAGGTCGGTGCCTCTCCCAAGAGCCATTGCGAACCATGGGCTCTGTGACCCCAGGAAACCTCCAAAAGGGCCTCCTCGCAGGCCCGGGAGCCCTGCCCCGAATCTGGGGCCTCGCCCCCTGGACTTAGGGTGCACGTTTCCCCCACCTGCCTTTCCCCGGCTTTTTCCTGACTTCCCTCTGCCCTTCCTTGGGTCTTTCCATTCTGGAATTTACCTCTGCTCTGGGCAGCGAGCTCCGAGTGTGGCCTCTGAAACACTGCTCTCTCCAGAGATGCTTTGTAGCTGACTTGACCTTGGTGTGGGGGGCAGCTGGGCACTGCTGTTGGAGAAGGGCAC